ATCTACAAAAAATTCTGAGATGTAGATCTCGACGAGTTTAGTCAAAAAACATAAGGTCTTGCTGCTATTCGGTTTCCAAGTCGAATTTTTAAAATTTCTCAAAAATTATACTCCTATATCTTGTGACGATTCTAGAAACATTTTACAAATTTTCGATCAAATAAAACCAAAAACAACATCTCAAGATTGAAATAAATAAAAGAATGACTTTTGGTAATTTTTGGAAATGCTAAAAAAAGTCAAAATTTATTTAGTTTTCAAAAATTGAGCTTTTGTTAGAGTTGACAAAAAATTCTGAAATATAGATCTCGATGAGCTTAATCGAAAAACATGTTCATGCTCCCGGAGCAAAATTTGCGAAATATTGGGTTCTACCTAAAATTTCTAAAAAAATCTCAAAAGTGACTTAAAAAAAAGTTATTTCTTTATGCGATTGTGGAAAAATTCGAGGAAATATAAAAAAAATAAAACCAAAAATAACATCTGTAGATCGAAATCAATAAAGAGATCCCTTTTGCTAATTTTCGAAGATGCTTGGGAAAAGTCAAAAAATGTATATGGATTTTCAAAAATTGAGCTTTTGTTGCAATTAACAAAAAATCAACAAAAAATTCCGAGATGTAGATCTCGATGAGCTTAATCCAAAAACATAAGGTCTTGATGGTCCCAGACCAAGATTTTCGAAAAATTCGGTTTCAAAGTCGACATTTCAAAATTTCTCAAAAATTACATTTCTTTTATCGGTTTTGGAAAAATTGTACAAATTTTCGAGAAAATAAAACCAAAAACAACATTTGGAGATCGAAATCGATAAAGAGATCCCTTTTGCTAATTTTCGAAAACGGTTGGGAAAAGTCAAAAACATTTTATAGATTTTCAAAAATTTAGCTTTTGTTGAAGTTGACTAAAAATCCACAAAAAAATCTGAAATGTTGATCTCGACGAGCTCAATCAAAAAACACAAGGTCTAGATGGTCCCAGATCAAGATTTTCGAAACATTCGGTTTCAAAGTTCAAAAATTACATTTCGTTTGGCGATTGCTGAAAAATTTCACGACTTTTCAACCAAATAAAACCAAAAACAACATCTGGAGATCGAAATCAATAAAGGAATCCCTTTTGGTAATCTCGAACGTGCTTGAAAAAAGTCAAAAATTTGATACAGGTTTTCAAAAATTGCCATATTTCTTCCGTCGATTCTGGAAAAATTGTAAGAATTTTCAAAAAAATTGAATCCAAAACGATTTTTGGAAATCGAGATGAACAAAGGAGTCTCTTTTGATAATTTTTAAAAATGCTTGGGAAAAGTCAAAAATTTTATATGGGTTTTCAAAAATTGAACTTTCGTAAAAGTTGACAAAAAATTCTGAAATATAGATTTGGACGAGCTTAAAAAAACATGACAGGTTCATGGTTCCGGATCAAAATTTTCGAAATACTCGGTTTCGAGCTCGAATTTTCAAAATTTCTCAAAAATTACCATATTTCTTTTGGCGATTGTGGAAAAATTGTACGAATTTTCGAAAAAATAACCAAAAACAACATCTGAAGATCGAAATCAATAAAGGAATCCTTTTTGGTAATCTCGAACGTGCTTAAAAAAAAGTCAAAAATTTGATACAGGTTCTCAAAAATTGCCATATTTCTCCCGTCGATTCTGGAAAAAAAGTTAGAATTTTCAAAAAAATTGAATCCAAAACGATTTCTGGAAATCGAGATGAACAAAGGAATCTCTTTTGGTAATTTTCGAAAATGCTTGGGAAAAGCCAAAAATTTTATATGGGTTTTCAAAAATTGAACTTTCGTAAAAGTTGACAAAAAATTCTGAAATATAGATTTGGACGAGCTTAAAAAAACATGACAGGTTCATGGTTCCGGATCAAAATTTTCGAAATACTCGGTTTCGAGCTCGAATTTTCAAAATTTCTCAAAAATTACCATATTTCTTTTGGCGATTGTGGAAAAATTGTACGCATTTTCGAAAAAATAACCAAAAACAACATCTGGAGATCGAAATCAATAAAGGAATCCCTTTTGGTAATCTCGAACGTGCTTAAAAAAAAGTCAAAAATTTGATACAGGTTCTCAAAAATTGCCATTTTTCTTCCGTCGATGCTGCAAAAAATGTAAGAATTTTCAAAAAAATTGAATCCAAAACGATTTTTGGAAGAACTCGAGATGAACAAAGGAATTCTTTTGGTAATTTTCGAAAATGCTTGGGAAAAGTCAAAAATTTTATATGGGTTTCCAAAAATTGAGCTTTTGTTAAAGTTGACAAAAAATTCTGAAATACACATCTCGACGAGTTTAAAAAAACATGACGAGTTCATGGTTCCGTACCAAAATTTTCGAAATACTCGGTTTCGAAGTCGGATTTTTAAAATATGTACTAAGCATGCAAAAAAATAAACTCAAACAAATTGGATGTTACCTATATGGTCACTACACAAATTTTTGGATGCAGTACAGCTGTTTGTGAATCTACATTCTCTGTTTTAACCAGCATTTTAACCAAGTACCGTACTAATTTTTTGGACTTCGACAGGTTTTTACGAAAATTTAGCGTAAAAAATCGACGTTTCCAATTATTTTAATGTTCTTTCAAATATAAAAACTCAGAAAAAATAAAGTAGTTATCTGAGTGTATTATTAAAATATAAATATTTACATAAAGCCCCCTCTGTCGACAAACTTGCCCCCCCTGAATAAGTTTTCTAGCTACGGGGCTGCACGACCGGTAGTACCGGAGAGCAGAAATAGGGGTTTTTATAACTTAGTACCGAGCGACACTCCTCGTCGATGATTTAGCAATTCAACAATCGCACATGCCCGCTGGATGCATGATCCATCCAGCCTTGGTGCGATGTTTATTCAAACCGATCGCGTGTGAGCGGACGCTCCCATCAAGGCGACCCGTCCATTTGGTACCGAAACCGGACGCTTCCGTCCACCCAAAATTGGTCCGGAGCGGACTCGACATCCGCGAGCGTGGGACGGCTGCAAGACGCGGGGGCCGCGATCGAGTTTCCTCGTTACCATAGTCGATCATTCATGTCAAGGTTAGGTTTTCGATTTTTCCCCATCGTGGAGAAATCCCACGGGAGATAATTACGCGCTGCGATGGGTTGCACACACGCACCCAAAGGTCGCCGGGTTTGAAAAAACCGAGACGGGCAATCAATCATGGTACCGCGGTGGTGGGTCCTGCAAGGCTGCGCGTCTATGCTGATTTCCATTTTGGGTGCGTGCGTGCGAATTGACGACCGCCACGAGTTTAAAGGAGTTTACGCAATGGTCAACGAACCGCCGTCCCATGATGGTACGCGACGAGCGGCCGCCATATGGTCCGTGGACTTGGCACTTGTGCGGATGCGTCTAATTGCGAGACGGATCGAATCGGTTTTGTCTCCGCGAAACGAGGGAAAAAACGCCTCTGAATGGAACCATGACTGGGCAAGTATCCGAAACGTCGTCGTCGTCATTAACATACAGTCGAGCATTAACCCAATTTTTCCATCGAGCGACCATGAAAACGAGCATCAACAGCGGCGTTGACGGGGCACTCCTTCCATACACCCTGATTTATTTCAATGCATTCAGCCTTGCCCACGTCGATACGTCGAAGTCGTACCGGCGCGCTTTTTACCGAAGGTGCGATAATCCGGCGACGTTTTCGTTTCGTAACGGCGACAAGTGCGTTGCAGAAACGATTCCGGGGATTCGGGGCCGCTTTCTAACAGGTGGACTCGGAGCCGGTCGCTGCGAGGTCGTACCGTGGCGAATAGGGCGAAATTGGCGGCGCCGAGCGACAATTAAGGCCGCGGGTTTGGGCAAAAATCGCGCGCTGAGTCAGCGATTTCGTCGACCATATAAGCCGATCGGTCCTTCGAGCCGGATGGGAATCGCCGAACGCGGTCTAACGGTGCCGGCATATCTCGGACGTTTCGGTAACATTTCCACGCCGCCATATTATCTAACTGTTTTCGATTTAACGACAGGGCGTCGCTTGGAAATGACGGTCATTACAACAGCTGTTGGAATTTTATAATTCAGCGCGGACGATGGCGGATCAGCGCTACTAGAATAATCGACGAAAGTACCCGAATCGTTCGAAAATTATAAAAAGTACCTGGGAATGGCGTCGTCATTTGCATTACGGAGTAGTCGCCGCGAACAATGCGATAAAATTATTGTTTTGTGAAGAAAGTCGCATTGTTGCGGCGCTTTAATAGATGTAGGTAAAGAGAAAGCCGTGACGGATTTCAGTTCGTTTTGACAATTGCGATATCTCGCGTTTTGATTTTTTCGCTTAATCGTCGAGACGTTCTTGAGAACCGCTTCCATAAATGGTCTTTGGCGAGGACAGACCATTCCCGGCCAGAGGACTCCCAGACCATATGGTCGTACCGAATATAGTACCACCGTCAGAAGCTTAGTCACAGGCAAAGGTCGGCCGCGGCTGCAACCCTCCTACCATCTGGGCTCGGATCGGGTTACCGGCGCGCGATAAAAACCCAGCTTTGATTAATGCATTCCAACAATACCGACTGAAATTTGATATTCATGAAGTCGACGCTCGCCGGAAACGCATTGTGGATTTGTCGCATGTATAAATAGCCTGCAGGAATGCAACGAAAGCTCGTTTTGTCGAACGACAAGCGGCGCCCGCTACGATAAGCCACGACGATGATAATAATCTTCCCACGAAATAATTTCGCGATAGAGGAAATCGCCGCGATTCCAAAGATATTATTCCTCGCGGTGACGCAAGAGCTTTTTCTCTGCGAAACCGCGAAATCGCCATTCCTCGAACTACCGCAGCGCTGGAAATAATGACGCTACGGTCCCGATTTGGCGCCGTTTTCTCGGAACACTTCCACGGCTGTGATGGGTTTTCTCGGACGCGCGCCCCGCGTTGGGCGCCGCTTGTGCGTGCGGTGCGGGTCGTACCGCCCCCGCGTTGGGCGCCACGCTGACTGATGATCCCTTTTCTGTTGCAGGCGAGCCGCTCGGTGGCCCGGAGCGGGTACCTGTTCGTGGCTCCGGACTGGGACTTCTCCGTGCCCCTCAACAGGACCAAGGTAAGCTTTCGGACTAATTGGGACGTTGTAGTTGTGCCCACGCCGTGGGAAATAAATTTAATTAGGCGCGTTTTTTTCGCCGTTTTTCAATCAGCGCTGCCCGACAACAAAGGATGTGTATTTTTCGCGATGGCCGGACTCTAATTGCCGGCGTGTCCTTTTTCGGACGTCGGTAGCTCGGTGCGCGATGATTTATCGCGCGTAATAATGGGTTTTGTTTATCGCCGGACGCGAATTTATTGCGATGATTCCAGCGATTTTTTTCCGATAAGCTCTGTAATTAGTACCGTTAGGCGGTCCTCGATGAATTTCGGCGAGAGCAAGCAAGGTCGATGCACGAAAACTCTCACTTGTCTCGTTTGGGAATTTTTCTTTGTTCGCGCGTCGTTTATTCCTCGTTTTTCGCACATTCGATCGGACGTGGTCCGAATTTCGAGATCGCGCAAGGTCAAGGTCCGGCGGAGGCGTCTCCGGTGTCGCGAGTTCCGAGGATTTCGTCGCGATAGCGCGGAATCCGAACGCGTTTCGATGAATTTTCGCTTTTGAAAGAGTCGCGAGTAGCCGGGACCGAAAGCGTCTATTATCTCACGCTTTTGAGAAGTGTGACGTGCGGAATTCCTGAAAGTCGCGAAGGTTACCTTCGTAATCCGACGCGCGGGAAAGCCATCGGATCGGATTCGACCTTCTATCGGATTTGGCGGAATACACGGGTCATCGTCGGACCGGACCTCGGCCGCCTAATGGTCATCGTTTGACTCATTTCCTATGTGTTTTTATTGTTCTTGTTTGCCAATTCATCTTCAACCGAGCGGATCGGGGGCCCCCTCGCGGGTAATTTTCCACCGATTTTGGCTAAACGCTTTACATAATGACAAGACCGTTTACGTCCCGCGCAAATATTCTGTAATTACCGAAGAGGAAAAAATTAACCTTGAAACTCGTAGGCAATTACCTACACACAATCTAGACGTCACTTTTTGTTTGTTCGTATAAAAACTATAAAATTACATCGTAAACATCGGTGCGATTGTTTTCGGTCGTGTAAAACGATAAAGTTTCCGTTTGGGTTGGTTGCTTGGATTGTGCGGAGATAATGGATGGTTGAAGTGGGTTCTGATTGGCAGGTGGATTCGGGTTTTTTGTGGCATTGGGTCGACGGGGAGAATGGAAATGTCACGTTTAGTAATCAACGAATTCACAGATTTGCACAGTTCAAGTCGTGTTTTTACTGCTTTGCGTGGACGGAAAAGGTGTTTTTTACTCTCGGAGCGTAATAGGGTCGTTTGGACGAATGACCGGTTTCAGATTTGCACAACTTGTGGCGGTCGCCCGCTTCCGTCTGTTTGTCTGTGTAAATAGTGAAAATTTTGTTTATTCCTAGGCAAAATTTGATGACGTCATCTCAAAATTATACTCACCTGGTCTTCGCAAAGAAACGCAAACATCGAATCCTACCTCGTTCACCGAACAAAAAAGATCTCGAGGACAGACCGTTTCACTTTCAGAAGCGCGGAGCTACGGTGTTTCGTTTTTAGAAGTACTATAATACAGCTCATTTGTTCTCTAACAAAATGTCGCAGATCTATTAGTGTTTCATTTTTAGAAGTACTCTACTATAGCTTTATTTCGTTTGTTAAATTAAAAAGACATTTCTAGAAGAGTTTCATTTTAGAAGAAAGTAAAACAACTCTTGATTTGCGGAGAAAATCATGGAGACTTCTGTACTTTGTTTTAAAAGTATTATAATACGGCTTCATTTCGTCCACTGAATGAAAAACTATCGAGGAGAGTTTCATTTTTAGAAGTAAGGAAAATAGCTTTTTTGGGGCTCTGAAAAAATCACAGGGACCTCTTGTGTTTCGTTTTTAGAAGTAGCAGAGTCACATAATTGAGGAAGATTGTGTTTAGCTTTTAGAAGTAGTATAATACAGGAGATCGAATAGTGTTTCGTTTTTAGAAGTACCCTACTACAGCTCTATTTCGCTTGTTAAATTAAAAAGAAATCACTAGAAGAGTTTCATTTTTAGAAGAAAGTATAACAGATCTCTTGGTTCGCTAAGAAAATCATGGAGACCTCTTGTACTTCGTTTTAAAAGTAGTATAATACGGCCTCATTTCGCCCACTGAATGGAAAAATAATCGAAGAGAGTTTCATTTTTAGAAGTAAGGAAAATGGCTTCATTGGTGTGCTGAAAAAATCACAGGGACCTGTTGTGTTTCGTTTTTAGAAGTAGCAGAGTCACAATATTGAGGAAAGATTGTGTTTCGCTTTTAGAAGTAGTATAATACAGGAGAGCGAATAGTGTTTCGTTTTTAGAAGTACCCTACTACAGCTCTATTTCGCTTGTTAAATTAAAAAGAAATGTCTAGAAGAGTTTCATTTTTAGAAGAAAGTAAAGCAGATCTCTTTGTTTTGCTGAGAAAATCATGGGGACCTCTTGTACTTCGTTTTAAAAGTAGTATAATACGGCCTCATTTCGCCCACGAGTGGAAAAATAATCGAAGAGAGTTTCATTTTTAGAAGTAAGGAAAATGGCTTCTTTGGCGCGCTGAAAAAATCACAGGAACCTGTTGTGCTTCGTTTTTAGAAGTGGCAGAGTCACAATATTGAGGAAGATTGTGTTTCTCTTTTAGAAGTAGTATAATACGGAAGATCGAATAGTGTTTCGTTTTTAGAAGTACCCTATTACAACTCTATTTCGTTTGTTAAATTAAAAAGAAATCACTAGAAGAGTTTCATTTTTAGAAGAAAGTAAAACAGATTTCTTGGTTCGCTGAGAAAATCATGGGGACCTCTTGTACTTCGTTTTAAAAGTAGTATAATACGGCCTCATTTCGCCCATTGAATGGAAAAATAATCGAAGAGAGTTTCATTTTTAGAAGTAGCAGAGTCACATTATCGAGGAAGATTGTGTTTCGCTTTTAGAAGTAGTATAATACGGGAGATCGAATAGTGTTTCGTTTTTAGAAGTACCCTACTACAGCTCTATTTCGCTTGTTAAATTAAAAAGAAATCACTAGAAGAGTTTCATTTTTAGAAGAAAGTAAAACAGATTTCTTGGTTCGCTGAGAAAATCATGGGGACCTCTTGTACTTCGTTTTAAAAGTAGTATAATACGGCCTCATTTCGCCCACTGAATGGAAAAATAATCGAAGAGAGTTTCATTTTTAGAAGTAAGGAAAATGGCTTCTTGGGTGCGCTGAAAAAATCACAGGGACCTGTTGTGATTCGTTTTTAGAAGTAGCAGAGTCACAATATTGAGGAAAGTTTGTGTTTCCCTTTTAGAAGTAGTATAATACGGCCTCATTTCGCCCACTGAATGGAAAACTATCGAGGAGAGTTTCATTTTTAGAAATAAGGAAAATAGCTTCATTGGCGCGCTGAAAAAATCACAGGGACCTGTTGTGTTTCGTTTTTAGAAGTAGCAGAGTCACAATATTGAGGAAATATTGTGTTTCGCTTTTAGAAGTAGTATAATACGGGAGATCGAATAGTGTTTCGTTTTTGGAAGTACCCTACTACAGCTCTATTTCGCTCGTTAAATTAAAAAGGAATCACTAGAAGAGTTTCATTTTTAGAAGAAAGTAAAACAGATCTCTTGGTTCGCTAAGAAAATCCTGGGGACCTGCTGTACTTCGTTTTAAAAGTAGTATAATACGGCCTCATTTCGCCCACTGAATGGAAAAAAATCGAGGAGAGTTTCACTTTTAGAAGTAAGGAAAATAGCTTCACTGGCGCGCTGAAAAAATGACAGGGACCAGTTGTGCTTCGTTTTTAGAAGTAGCAGCGTCACAATATTGAGGAAAGATTGTGTTTCCCTTTTAGAAGTAGTATAATACGGGAGATCGAATAGTGTTTCGTTTTTGGAAGTACCCTACTACAGCTCTATTTCGCTCGTTAAATTAAAAATAAATCACTAGAAGAGTTTCATTTTTAGAAGAAAGTAAAACAGATTTCTTGGTTCGCTGAGAAAATGATGTGGACTTCCTGTGCTTCGTTTTAAAAGTAGTATAATACGGCCTCATTTCGCCCACTGAATGGAAAAAAAATCGAACAGAGTTTCATTTTTAGAAGTAAGGAAAATAGCTTCTTTGGCGCGGTGAAAAAATGACAGGGACCTGTTGTGCTTCGTTTTTGGAAGTAGCAGAGTCACAATATTGAGGGAAGATTGTGTTTCGCTTTTAGAAGTAATATAATACAGGAGATCCATTGGTGTTTCGTTTTTAGAAGTACCCTGCTACAGCTTTATTTCGCTTGTTAAATTAAATAGAAATCTCTAGAAGAGTTTCATTTTTAGAAGAAAGTAAAACAGATCTCTTGGTTCGCTAAGAAAGTCATGGGGACCTCCTGTACTTCGTTTTAAAAGTAGTATAATACGGCCTCATTTCGCCCAATGAGTGGAAAAAAATCGAGGAGAGTTTCACTTTTAGAAGTAAGGAAAATAGCTTCATTGGCGCGCTGAAAAAATCACAGGGACCTGTTGTGTTTCGTTTTTAGAAATAACAGAGTCACAATATTGAGGAAAGATTGTGTTTCGCTTTTAGAAGTAGTATAATACGGGAGATCGAACAGTGTTTCGTTTTTAGAAGCACCATATAATACCTCCATTTCTCTCGTTTGAAAAAAAATCTCCAGGGCAGACAGTTTAACTTTTAGATGAAAGAAAAATAGATATCTTAGCTAGCTGAAAAAATCGTGCGGATTTGCTGTGCTTCGTTTTTAGAAGTAGTATAATACGGCTTCGTTTAGCCCGTTAAATAAGAAAAAAACGAGAACAATTTCACTTAGAAGTAAGGAAAATAGTGTCTTTGACACGCTGAAAGAGTTCGTTTTTAGAAGTAGCATAGTAAAAACCTCTAAGAAAGACTGTGTTATGCTTTTAGAAGCAGTATAATGAATCTCCAATTTGGAGAATAGACACTTTGACTTTTAGAGGAAATAAAGAACCTCGGGACTTTGTTATGCTTCGTTTTTAGAAGTAGAAGAGTCAAAATATTAA